TTGAAGGGGGTGGAGGTGGAAGATTTCCTAGTCTTTAGGAAGGATGTATAAGTCATTTAGTAGATCATCTCTCGGTGAACCTGGGGGAGAAACAATATGGTGTCGGCGGTAGCAATAGGGATATCGAGCAGAATCCAGCTACCAGAGTTGAAGTCAGCAGAATCAGACGACGCCAAAATAGGAGCAGCGAAGTAAGCGGGGTAGCTCATAAGATGATACCTCTATTGTGCAACCAAACGGATCATCGGGTTATGAATGGGAAGAAGTAAAATGTTCATACCAACTGAATTTCTCTTTTTCTTTAAATTCTTATTTTGTTTAATAGGTTTCCCGCTTTTTATTTTTGGGTAAAGTATAGTAATGTCACTGAACTTTTCTAAAGCTTTCATTTAGGTCGTCTAACTTTTAAAACTTGCAACACAATCCTCCAACATTTAGTCTGTTTGTAATATGGTCCCTGACGTAACCTGTCGTTTGACACAGTTACACTACCATTAGTACGTTTACAATATGGTCATTGAATTTTTCAGGCGTTTGCATTTAGGTCCCCTAACTTTTAAAACTTGCAATATAGTCCTCAATTTTATTATAAACCCCAAATTCCTTTTCAATCTCAAATTTCCTTTTTCGTTTCTCTCTTCTCATTTCAGCGTAACTTTTCAGTCGGGGATGCATGGGAAATTCTAATCTAACTTTGAATTCTGTGGAGGTGTTGACTTGAATAAGGGTCCATAGAGAGAAGACCCGACCAAGGGACTATCGGGACCATCAACGATTCAAGGTGTAATGTTAGATACATGTCATCTCAGGTGAAGCATAGATGTTCGATGAAATGCTTGTGAGAAAAAAATGGGGATAGAAATGCAGAGTTGACAAATACTACTAAGATAAACTAAGTATCATTATTGAAAGTCACCAAAAAAGCTGGAATTATTTTGTATAAATGACATATAATAATTTCTTCGTTTAATCCTTGTGGATAAAGATTTTCCAACAGATGATCAAATATAATGAAATCCCAAACAACGCCTTCACCTCTCAGTCTCTTTCGCTAACATGCACTCTCGATTGATTTTTGTTCTTCAGTTTTCCGGCATGTAAAATTGTAAACCCAAGTAGTGCACTGTCTTTCAACTTTTTATTTACAAAGAAAAAATGGAGGAAGAATTGTTGGAACGCAACACCGATTGCATTTATTTCTTAGCCTCTCCCCTCACTTGCAAGAAGGTATTTATTTTCTCTTTTGGGTTATCCGAAAGTAAGCTTTTCCTCTTTCGCACTTTCCCATTTTCATATCGCATCGTGTGTTGTTTTTGTTGATTTTTTTATTTTTCTAGAACTACATGTCAAAGATCTGATATCCAGTGTTAGTTTTGAACCAAAAGCATCTAATTTTCTTTCTTTCTTCTTAATAAAAACTTTTAGTACTCCTTATGAAAGATATTTAGTCCATCAGAATAGAAATGAAAGAGGGTCATAGGCTAAATTTTTTTATCTTCTTATTTGTTTTTTTTTTAATCGGGGAATTGGTTGTGAGTATCGACATAGTGAAATCGCTAGGCTCAATCTCAGAGACTGCTGGTACTACTTTATTGGGAATTGTATTGATCCTACCTGTGGTTTTCGGTGTTCTGTGAGCTCGTATTCTTATTAATAAGTTCATGTTGATTATAGGACTGATATATCGTGAACAAATTGGATTTTTTACATGTTTTGGAAATTTTACAATTGAATCTGTATTGAATTATAGCTTTAAAAGACAATTATGCATGCACACAACTCGAAAGGCATCATGACAGGGTAGTATATTTGGAGCAGTTACTTGATATGTTGTCCGATCATTGCACATTTACACTTTCATTTCTGGCATATATATGTTTGTCACAATGTCCTCTATGTTTTATAATGTCTTTTATTGCTGACATGCCATGAATTTACAAGAATTATGGGGTCCTATGATTTTAGTTTCATTATCTGCTTTAGATTCTCATCATGTTTGGCTATTGAGGAACATTAAACATGGAGCATTAGAAGCAATTATATGTTAAAAGGGTAGGCCATTAATGCATTTGCACCTGGTAATGTTGTATTTGACATCTAATTTCTATCTTAAACAACCCATTTGACGCCTTAGCTTTTGGAGTGACTATGACCGAACCTCTTTCCCTTTATTTATTAAGTCCTCCTTTTGAATGAGTTATTAATTGATATTCTTGGTTTATTTTAGTTATTATTTGGCTTTATGTTGTAATCCTATGAACTAAAACTCTTTACTATTTTCGCGGCCGTTGGATGTGCATGCTCAAGTTCCATCCAAACCTATTGGATTGCCATACCAAAGTGTGCCAGCTACGAACAAGATAAATTGGCCTTGTTACTTTTACTTCAACAGTTTATGCAATAAACGTGATAGGTGCACTTTTCATGTTCAAAGTGCAGAAACCGTTGGATGTGCATGCAACAAACCTCAAATTTATATTAAAGTAAACACTGTCAAATAGCAAATTCATATTCAAAATTCCAAAACATTTCAATTACATTCTATACCCCGAATTCCAAAATACTTTAATTACATTCTAAACCCTAAATCAAAGTATTTTAGAATTTAGGGTTTAAAATATAATTGAATTATTTTGGAATTTGGGGTTTATAATGAAATTGAGGACTGTGTTACAAGTTTTAATAGTTGGGGATCTAAATGCAAGCGCCTGAAAAGTTAAGTGACCATATTGTAAATGTACTAACGACAGTTTAACGGCGTCAAACAACCGGTTACGTCTGAGACCATATTGCAAACGAACTAAATGTTAGAGGATTGTATTGCAAGTTTTAAAAGTTGAGACACTTAAATGAAAACTTTAGAAAAATTCAATAACCATTACTATACTTTACCTTTTCTTTTTATTAGCATTGACATTGACCGACGTAACTTAACGGGCCTTTTATAGATATAATTTAAAAAAAGCCCAAAATAGAAACTATATTTTGGTAAAATTACTAATACAATAGAAACTATGCTATAGGGTTTGACGTGGAATTTAATAAAATATAATTATGAGAGGATTCTATTCTAATCAATGATCTATTAATTTTTTAATGAGATAATTTAATTATATATAAATGAACTTACCATTAATATTTGATGGAGTAGTTGATGTGATAATTAAAATAATTTATATACTAATTATATATTTAGTCTTCATTACTTATAAATCCTATTAATTTGATTCTAATTTGATTCTAATTCTAATTTAATAAATTGATAGAATGTGTAAGTAATGAAGACAAAATGTATAACAATTCTTTTAATCTACATCTTATCTCATCCGTCAAATATTAACGTATGTAACTTAATTGAAATCGTTTGAATTATTAAGTGATATGGTTGAAAAAAATTAACATAATTATATTAGAATCCTCTAGGTTTAAGTGGTCATCCATGTAATTTATACTTACATAATATAAGTTCGGACTTCATATTTTAAAATAAAATTCAAGATAAACTGATTGATTATTTTTTATAATTAGAATAGAAAATAACATTAAAAATAACAGAAAATTAATTATCAAATTAAAATATAAAAAAAATTAAGCCCGGAGATTTAACAAAAGATATGGATATGACTTTGATTCACTAAGGCCCACAAGAATCAATATATAATGATTTAGTTGGAAGATTATTGTTTTTTTTGGGCCTAATAGGGCACACAGGTAAATTACTTGAAAAATAGAGTAAGTAAAAGTTTATTTTGGGATATATGATATTTTTTATAGTGTTTATGAAACTCTTTACGTCGATATGAGGAGTTACAAAAAATATTTTTTATTCAAACTCGTCATTCGTCACTTAGAAGTGACGTGTTCGAATAAAATATTTTTTTATTAAAATTTATCACATCGAGATGAAAATTTAAATAAAAAATATTTTTATTAATATTTTTTTACTTTGACGTGATGAGTTTTATGCACCGTATAAAATATCGTAAATCTTAAAATAAAAGTGTTTCTGCTTTATTTTAAAATTTTCGGGCTCTCCTATTAGGAAAAAACACCAAATTATTGGGCTTCTAAACTCTAAACGTGTATTAGTAGTAGATCTTTAAAATCTGTTTAGAACAACGACACATTACCTTAAATTTATATAGAACAGAAAACATAGAAGGTATTTGTAGAAGCCAGAAAATTTCTAGAGCAAAACCAGCGAAGAAGCAGATATGAATTTTAGTGTTCTCAACGAAGCCCTCTCCTCCAAATCCTTCGATAAGGTCGCCGATATATGCGATGCCATCATGCTTCAGGTTCCATTTCCTTTAATTTCCTTTTTAAATCCCCAAAATCCTATGATACAAACCTTGAATCGAATTTCTGAAATAAAAGCTTTGTTTTATGTTGTAAAAAAAAACTAATGATAAAATCAGGTGGCAGCGGAGGGTTTTCCTTTCTGAGACGAATGGCCTTTTGAAGTTCATCTTCTGGGCCACATTTATGTTGATGATGTGTAAACTTCTTTTTATTTTTTTTATTTCTTTCTTTGTTTAATTAATAAATTTATACTTTTGAGAATATATTTAGTTTATTTTTCAAAATTTTAGTTTGGGTTTTTTTTGTTGGTTTTCAAGATTATATAGATTTAGTGGATGTTTGTTTGTCTCTTAATGAAACCATTCAACGCTGAATGTTAAACCGTTCAGCATTCAGCGCGTTTATTTCGCACCTCTGAATGATTCAGTGCTGACTGATTTAACAAAACAGTGCTGAATGATTTAGCACAAAAGTACATTCTGAATGATTCAGAGCTATTATCAAACAGCATGTCACATTCAAAGCTAATTTATTCAGAGTCTCTGAATCATTCAATATTTTAATCATTCAGCGCTTAATCATTTTGAAATAAACAAATAGTCTCTTAGTATAGGATTTTGAAACTTGGGGTCCGTCCGTTTTCCTGTATGTGGTTCCCATAAAACAAGACGTAAAACATTTTACGGTCAACGAAGAACTTAAAGAAAAACGGTAAAATAACTTACCCTTTGGAAAAGGGTAAGTTGTTTTCCAACTCCCTTGCTCCACACCGAAAACAATTCGTTCTCTCGTCCCTTGTTCTACACCGTAAAATTAATCGATCCAATGGCCTCCTTCTAACCAGTGAGGCGGGCAGTCGTCTTCTCAGGTATCTCTCTTTTCATCTTCTCCCTTTTTATCTTCATTGACCTCCTTTTCTTGTTTCATCTTCCTTGACTTCTATTTCCATTTTCACCGACGAAGCAGAAATCAAAGACCGAACTTGCTCTTCTTCATGTTGGTAAAGTCTATCGGCGGTGCATCGAAAAACCTTTCTAAGAGGTAAGTCTCTCCCTCACTGTTTGAATTGTTTTTTCGTTGATTTGGTTTTAAGTTTGTGGGTTGATTGAGTAGTTTATTTCTCAGTTCATTTGGGGAAATAGGTATTCATTTTGGTTGATTATTTTGCTATGTCAATGGGTTCATTGTTTCTGCTATCTTGTGAGATTGATTTGGGAAAATTGGGTACTAGCAGCTGAAGAATCATTTATCGAATGATAGGTTGAAATATTTTAGATACATACAAGATACAATTCTCAATATTTAAAAATATACAACAATTTTGTATGAAAAATTAATAAGTTCAATTAACAGATTGGCATTCAACGGTCATCCCCCATATTTAAACTAAGCAAACTAACTCAAATAAAAATGGTAATATGAAAGAGACAAAGCCAACGCAAACGAATAACCCTTAGCTAGCAACTAGCAAACCATTCAATTGTTCAGCAGCTTTGTTAGGGGGGAATAAAAGGCTTTATATATGGAGATGTACAAATAAAGATGCAAAACCTCATTTAAAACATTAAGACACATGTAATGTTTGGTGTTTACCATGAACATAGCTATCAAGGGGTTTAAAGTGATTAGGATAAATGTGTTAGTTAAATACAGTGGTTGTTGAGACTAGTGAAAGGTATTGGTTGACAGCACATATCACATAGTGAACTAAACCCGAAAAGGAGAAACTAAAAAAGATAGTAGGTGAAGGGAGGAAAAGACAACAGGTCATAGTTTGAATGAATCATAATCAGTTATAAGTGAAGTTAACACCAGCAAGTTGGAGCTGATAATGCTTCCCTAAACTTAGGATAACAGCTCCCACCCAAAAAATAATAATAACAAACACCCAAACTCTCACAATTTAAAGTTAGTAAGCTGTAGATATACATGTCAATATCTTGAATTAGAAGCATGTCTATAACAAACACAAATATAACATCATGGGAACTTACTAACAAGCACCATTTCATATCTAAATGCACATTAAGGTGCTAAATGTTTCAGAACTTGGACCAAATATAGAAACAATTTTAAAATGAATAAATTTCCAAACTCAATCATATATTGTAATAAGCTCTTACAATACTACATAATAATATAATTATAGTTATTGTTGTATACCATAATTTGGAGCTTCTTTTTATGTATATAATTTTTTTAACAAAATGTGATAGTACAAAAATTCATGTTACTAAACTCACCAGAAAATGGTTTCATTACTGCCTAAAATCACTAGGTTGTTTATGTAATAAGATAATAGTAAAATAGAGAGGTAATATTCAGGTTAATGTTGGTAAAAATTATAGTACAATCAAGCCTATTAACAATTTTAACCGCTTTAATTCCCACTTGAGCCTGAAGGTTGCATTGGTAGAATACTTAAACCCAAAAGAGTAAATGTTTTTTGTTGCAGCAATATATTGTTGACAAAAATAATAGAGTGTACAAATAAAAGCGCACATAAACTCTTGTATAGCTCACCAGACTTCACCATTAGAATAGCCAAGTTAGACTAATCCATATAGGTTCAAAGCATGCTATACCCATTAAAGGAAACATTAAACGATAACAATCAACGAAGCATGTTATTATATAATGCAAATTTTGGTGGCTATTGGTCCAGAGGAATGGTCCCCATATTCATTGATAGCTTGAACCATCTCATTCTTGCTAACATAGACATCATTGTTCTTGTCCAACATCACAAATGCATCTACCAATATTTCGAATGTTGCCTCCTAATTCGACACTCTCATTCTCGATTTCATACTTTATTTTTATGTAACACACATTAACAGGGAAACACTTCATTTTGTGCTCAATAGTATTGGTACTCCCATTACAGTATCAATGCTTTCCTTATATGGTATCGATACCCCCTTTCGATACCGATACCATTGTGACATTCTGTAAAAGTATCTTGGAAATGGTATCGATATTATACTCTTGGTACCGATACTACCAATTCAATATCGATACCTTCATCAACCAATATCGATACAACTCTACAAATTCAACTGATTTTTCCATTTCCATTTCGAAATTTAACCAAAAACTTAACTAATCTCCTACTTTTACCTCATTCTTTATCTTACATTTTAGTCATTGACCCGATGCTTGGGATGTTACAATGAATGTAGATTGTCCATAATTTAGTGATTAGTATTTATTTTACAGTTCAAATTATTACGATAATTTCTTTATAGATGGAACATAATTCTATTCATAAAACAATAGTGGGAGTTGTTGCTTCAGCATTGACTTTTGGGCTCTTTGGATTCACATAATAAAATCTATAAAGCAAATAAGGCGTCAATGTCATGTGAATCGAGATGATGAAAGAGAAAATTACATCAATAATATTTTATATACAGTGATCAGAATTGTATCGACATAATACGACTGCAATCACTTGCGTTCTTTAATTTGTGTGACATCCATATTAGGAACAATTTGTAACAGTCGACAAGATCGGTGAATGTTAAGGAGAAAGTTAACATATTTTTACATATAATTGGTCAAAATATAAGATTTTGAGTGATTGGATCAAAATATTATAGATCAATTGAGACAATTCACCGTTACTTTAGGATTGTACTGAAGGCTATTATGAAGTTATATAAATTAGCTATTAGGTTATCTGATGAGTCAACTCCTCCTGAAATAATAAACAATTCAAGGTTTTACCCATATTTTAAAGATTGTGTGGGTGCATTAGATGGAACTCATTCGTGCATCTGTTCCACTTATCATTCAAGTAAGATTTCTTAATCGTAAAGGGGGAACGACACAGAATGTATTAGCTGCCATTACTTTTGACCTGAAATTTTCATATGTTCTAGCTGGTTAGGAAGGCAGTGCGCATGATTCTCGTATTTTAACTGATGTACTTACACGCCCAAGAGGATTTAGTATTCCAGAAGGTAATAATTATCTTTAATAATAAAAATTAATTAATTTCAATTTATAATATAATAAATAATAATAAAATTTTGTTAAATTATAGGTAAATATTATCTTGCTGATGCTGGATATGGCATCTGAAATGGAATTATCTCTCCATATCATGGTGTTCAATATCATTTAAAAGAGTTCAGTAATCATTGTCCAGAAAATGCAAATGAACTTTTTAATCTTCGCCATTCATTATTGCGAACAACTGTTGAGCGAGTGTTTGGAATTTTAAAGTAACATTTTTGTGTGTTAGATGTTGGACCATTTTGGGATTTTCAAACACAAATAGACATAGTCTTGGCTTATGCTATCATTCATAATCATATAATGGGAGTTGATCCTAATGATATAATTAATGAAGGATTGTATGAGGAATCTGAGCCTTATTCGATAACATCAATGCTTACACAACGAGAAGAGAGAGAAGAAGCTAGAGAATGGGCTACTAAGAGAGATGAAATTGCACAAGCTATGTGGAGTGATTATATAATTAGAAATATGTAATTTTGTTGAAATTTTTGTTGAGTATTTGTAAGTTACGTATGATGGATATTGTTGTTTTTAGTTTGTTGGGTATTGAACTTGTAACACCCATAACCCGTATAATTATACCTATACAGATTATAGATGTCACCCGAATTTCTAAAACCATTTCCAATTTCAATTGTGATTTAAAATTTATTTTCTTAAAATGGTAAATAATATTATATAAATATCATATCATATGAATTGTGTTTCATTATAATAAATTTAAAACAAAAGATTTTTTTTATGAATTATGATCTTACTTCAGATACTTAAGTATCTATCACCTTAGCTACAAAAGCTATACATCATTTTTATATCAATTTAATCGCAACCATTGCTGATATCACGTTAGAGATGATTTCACTTTTTCATCAATCATTAAATTTTTTAATTTCTCAGCATTTTTCTAAATTAATCACTTCTTGTGATCATTAACCCAACCTTAATGCAGAGACAACCAAATCATGATCAAAATGATCTAAAACTCGTTAATGATAATCCCTTCAGATTCATCAGGAACATAAGCTCCTGAATCTTTATCGGACATTTACTATTTGTCCAACTAACACTTGTATCATGACCGTGACCTATGGATCTTCTGCTATAATATCACTCGATATCAAGTAGAATTGAATATTTCTACTTTGGAATTCCTTATTTCATCTTAAAGAAATCTGTATAACTTTTCCAAATCCAAAGATAATATTTTCGAATAGTTGAAACATTTTCCATTTCAACTGAAAATCTCAATGTTCACATCGTTCAATAAGAAAACTTGATAAATTTGTAGCAATAACTTTATAGCAGTTAATGCTAAAATCACACTAGTAAACAAATTTACTCTTTATCTTATCCTTACGAACTTGACACTTTCCAAGTTCTTGAGAATCAGTCTCGATCTAAATAATAATTCATTACAGCATGTAAGATTAGACAATCCTTTTTCGCATATTTACCTTCACAATGCAACTCTATTCAATTTTATGGACTTGATATCTATTCTCAATCCAATTCATAACCATTTGATTCACTAATAACTCAACTTTCTTTAAACTTTTAGCGAAAATCATATTTACCGCTTACTCAATTCCTCTTACTCAATTCCTCTTACTCAAATCATCAATGCTTTAAACAATTTAATGCTTAGCTTAAATATTTCTCACTTATTTAAGCTTACCTGAAGAAACCCCCGAATCATCACTAGATTTAGAAATCTCCTCTGGATCCTCATCTGATTCGACTTTTCTTGTAAGTCATTCAAACTTTTTTTAATCAATTCTTCCATTCAGAATCTTCGTTAAAAATTGGGCATTTCTTCCACAAACTGGAGAAAAATCCTTTACACATCCACCATTCTAAGGTGTTTTATATAAGTCATACCGGGTCCATTTTTGTCGACTTCAATCTCGACTTTCTTTTCAACAATTTCGACTTTCTTACCTTTGTCTTTAGTTCCAACATCAGAACATAGTCAGAATCATCATACATTAATAAAGAGTAACTTTACTCCCTATAAGCATCATCACAATATATATACAACTATCAATAACTTTTGACATCCTAGTGGCATGTATACACTTTTTAACTCAAAATAACCTCGGTTTAGTCCTAGAATCGGATAAACCTGTAGCTCTGATGCCAACAAATGTAACACCCTTAACCCGTATAATTATACCTATACAAATATATACAGTTTATCAATGCACTGTTACAGTAACGTGAATAGTGTACCGATGCACAAAATTTTCAAACTTAAAATGTGTATCGATGCACTGCTACATTGTATCGATGCACTGCTATAGTACTACTACAATAATTTTCGAAAATAAATAAAACTCATAAAAACTTAACATTTCTCTACTGTAAAGTTACCATTTTGTTTCCAAATTTCTTCAACAAAATAAATTGAACATTATTAATTACATGACACTTTCTAAGTCAAATTCCATCGTAGGATGTCTTACTGATATTGAAATATACTCCTCGATGCTTAATGTTGTTCCGAACTCTTTATTCTACTACTGAATTTTTACCTACGCGTGAAAATTATCACACGCTAAGTATAAACTTAGTGAGACAATTAACACAATAAACAGTGCAATACAATTCATGCATGAATTTAAATGTCAAATTCCAAAATGCCATAAAATCATGTTACTTGCATATCCAATATTTTACCATATACTTACCATTTATTCCATAAGCTCGTAAGCTTATTCTAACAATATACTTACCATTTGTTCCATAAGCTCGTAAGCTTATTTTACCAAAATACTATCCATTTAATACCATAAGCTCGTAAGCTTATTTTACCAATATACTTACCATTTAATCCCATAAGCTCGTACGCTTATTTGCATGCTTACCATTTATTAAGCAATAAACCATAAGCCAAAGTATAACTGTATAAGGAACCCGGTATAGGAGTCAAATATTGTACCGAAGTGCTGAGGTCGAGCATTGCTCACCTAATAATGCACCGTAGTGTTGAGGTCGGGTTACCCACCTAACTTGTACTATGTATATTCTTTGACACTATAGTACTACTTAATTCTGCAGCTGCTAGACACTGTGGCATGCCATTAATACCACTTATCCTCAATAACATACTCGGGTATATAGTCAATTTTATTCGATACATCCATGGCAAAGTAATCAATACCATTTAACATTGGGCAGTTCATACCCACAATATCATTCATGTTAAAAATCATATATGTTCATGATAACATCATATGCAACAATCAATGATCAATGCATTTTATAATCAACCTTTGACATATTTAGAATATATCAAATATATGATAAATGACATAAATATCATGTCAACATAAATAAGGTCGACTTATCGCAAGTCTTCCTGATGACGTATAAAACATCCATGTATAATTTCATGCATGTATTACACTCACCTTGACACTTTATATCTTTCAAAATATGTGCCTCACTATTGTCCATAATAACAATTTCCTTTTATACTCGCTTCGATCACAAATCAATCATGATCTGTACAAAATATAGATTTATATCCATATATATGTTAGTATTGTACTAACATAAATGCATTTCCAAAATAAATTCCAAAATCATACTTGAAACTATTCACCACCAAATACTTTAACACTTATTAATTCCTTTTTAACATTGGAACCAACTTTTACAATTTACACAAAATGGTCCTTCACCATTTTATCACATAGAATTTCAATACAAAAATTCCAGTATTGAAATTATTAACATTCAAATGCTTTTACAAAAGCATAATTACATTTAAGTACCCCAACTATGAAAATATTGTACTTAAATCACAAATCTTTTCAAACTTCCAAAATAGTCATATTTCAAATCTAAAACTCATTTCAATTCCCAAACAACAATTTCCAGCATGGTACATCAATTATATAACACTTACACAACAACCCATCAATTTTCCATGTTCAGACAACTCACACTACCTTTAAAGAATTAGTATTCTGTATTGATATACACACTGGAATTCAATTTCGTTTCTTCCGTTGCAATTTAAACTCGAATACAAATCTATCATATAAATAACTACTTCTAATTCATTCTGTACAATTTATGGTGAATTTTCAATGTTGACCAACATAATCTGTTTTGCAGAATCTGCTGTCCGATTTTTCTGACCTTTCCTTAGTTAAAAAATCATATCTTTTTGTATACACCTTGAAATTGATCCCTGTTTGTTTTAAACAAAACTAGATCGATATATGAACACAAATATATAACAATAACCTCCAAATTATTTTATATAAGTTCTGGCGAATTTTCAAACCGACTACTAAATTCAAAATATAAACTATTTTCTTAAACCTCATCCTTAGGTTTTTCATCAATTCTTACAACCAATTCTTTAAAATCACTTAACTCTTCATAACCCATAAAACACAAGAAATCAACATCCCCTTCATCAACTCAAGATGAACTTAAACACTAACAATATTATCATGCAATATTGGTACCAAATGATAGCGTTTTTTGCATATAACAATTTTTTATTTTCAACGTACTTAAAATCCAAATAATTTTGTTTGAAAATGAAATTGAAGCTTTCTCTCACCTTTGAAGAAGCTCACGTCTGGTTGGAGAAGAAGATGAACAAATTTAGATGAAATGTTAGGTACATTTCATCTTAATTTCCATTTAATCTAACTTTAAATGAATATAATATTCATTTACTTGAGATAAGACCAAATCACCCTTAATGAATCTTCTTATTCACCATAAAACCATGACAACTCATCCTTATCATATTTCAAAGGCAAAGCTGAAATATTTTGACTTTTATTTCTGAAACTCCCTTTGAATTTTCAAAAATTGCGTTTTAGTCACTAAATTCAACTGTTTCGATTAAATCTGAAAAATTGCACATTTCCAAACCAAATTTCTCTGATCTAAAATATTTAAATAATATTTCCAACCATTTATAACATCCTTCAAATTTTTGTAAAATTCCAATTCGATTGGAATTACTGATTTCCTTACAGGCTTTAACCATTTCTAATTTTTCTTTACTAAAATTCCAAATCCAAAAACATGGTTTCTATAAAACTCCACTCTCAAGAGTAAACCATATATTTATGGAAAAAAATTCTTTTTAGGAAATTTCTCACTTAATTCCCTAAACTTTTTCCCAATTTTCTACTTTGACCATCAAACTTTCAAAACTTTCACTTTGGTCATTATCTGAATTTTTGGGGTATTACAATTCTCTCCTCCTTAAGAAAATTCATCCTCGAATTTTAAAACTTTATATGAAAACCCTAACTCCCCTTTTATAAGGATTACACTTTTGATTGTAAATTCATAACCCTAATTTAGGGTTGTACGAACTGGTAAGATGTGGCCATACCTTAACTGTAGATTTTTTTTCAATAGTTCAGGATAAACAATTTGAGACTGAGCCTCTTTTTTTTTAAATCTGTTCTCGTCTT